TATTTTCCCCCATTCTTTTTCTCTAAAATCCCATTATTTTCCCCATTATTTCCCCATTATTTTCTCGGATATTTTCCCCATTATTTTCTCCCATTCTTTTTCTCTAAAATCCCATTATTTTCCCCATTATTTCCCCATTATTTTCCCATTATTTTGCTCGGCATTTTCCTCTAAAATCCCATTATTTCCCCATTATTTCCCCATTATTTTCTCTGATATTTTCCCCATTATTTTCCCCCATTCTTTTTCTCCAAAATCCCATTACTTTCCCCATTATTTTTCCTCATTATCCCCCATTATTTTCCCCATTATTTTCCCCATTATTTCCCCATTATTTTCCCATTATTTTCCCCATTATTTTCCTCATTATCCCCCATTATTTTCCCCATTATTTTTCTCTAAAAACCCATTATTTTCCCCATTATTTCCCCATCATTTTCCCTATTATTTCCCCATTATTTTCCCCATTATTTCCCCATTATTTCCCTCATTATTTCCCCATTATTTTCCCCCATTTTTTTTCTCTAAAATCCCATTATTTTCCCCATTATTTTCTCCATTATTTTCCCTCATGATCCCCCATTATTTTCCCCATTATTTTTCTCCAAAATCCCATTTTTCCCCCATTTTTTTCTCTAAAGTCCCAATATTTTCCCCATTATTTCCCACTATATTTTCCCTATTCTTTTTCTCAAAAATCCCATTTTTCCCCATTTTTTTCCCCTAAAACCCTCTTATTTGTCATTATTTCCCAGAGCGCAGCGTGTGCGCAAGATGGCGGCCGAGTCGGACCCCGCAGGGTTCTGGGGGAGAGGGATGGGATCAGTTCTGGGATTTTGCCCTAAAATCCCATTTTTTTCCTCATTATTTTCCTGATTATTGTCATCATTATTATTCTCTAAAAACCCATTATTTCCCCATTATTTTTCCTGATATTTTCCCCATTATTTTCCCCCATTCTTTTTCTCCAAAATCCCATTATTTTCCCCATTATTTTCCTGTTATTTTCCCCATTATTTTTTCTCATTATCCCCCCATTATTTTCCCCATTATTTTTCTCCAAAATCCCATTATTTTCCCTATTATTTCCTCATTATTTCCCCCATTATTTTCTCTGATATTTTCCCCCATTCTTTTTCTCTAAAATCCCATTATTTTCCCCATTATTTCCCCATTATTTTCCCCATTATTTTCTCTGATGTTTCCCCCATTATTTCCCTCATTATGCCCCATTATTTTTCCTCATTATCCCCCATTACTTTTCTCCAAAATCCCATTTTTCCCCCATTTTTTTCCTCTAAAACCCTATTTTTTTTTTCCCCTGAAACCCTCTCATTTCTCT